TTCTAAGGTAACAACAACACAATGATTACTAAATTCAGGGGATTATACACTAATGAAAACATACCTGTGCATATTACATTACATTTCTGCCAATAGATCCTCCTGAATGTTACACACTGGACCTTTAAAAGAATATCATGTATACTCTGTATATCTCTTCTGAAGTTATATACTCTGTCTATCTTCATAAGAGTTTAGCTGGTCAGTGTGATCAAGACAATATAAAAGCAATGAGCCACTTGAGGGTGAGCTGGACAGTGAAGCACAACCTCTTGTGGTTTATTGCAAAATCAATTTATTAAATATAAAATGTTAAATTAAACTACATTACACATCAAGTGTAACCTGAGCCAGAGTCTGACTAGAGATAAGAATATACAACATGAGCTTGGTTAGATTGTTCTTGGATTTTTAGATAAGCCACTTACTGCATTGTTTGTACTTTCTTTTACAGTATTTCGCGCTTTGACACACATAAATAACTAAATATTATTAACATATAATGTTTTTAATGTTTTTTTTCTTAAATTTGGTCAGATTAGAAATCCACTCAAAAGTCTGCAGTTTGCCTCTCTGATCTACTGTTTTACTGTTTTTCTTTTTATTTAGAATTAAGAGGGATCTACTGCAGCTTTATAATGTTGCTGCATTTTAATATAACCTTTTCTACATTTCATCTTTTCAGTCACTGTCATAAGTGCCTACAAATCTGCCGTCTCATCCCTCTAACCTTACATCACCTCCCCATGATTATCTGGTGGGAACAGCGTGGCTCAGTCAGTGCCATAAGCCTGTCAGTCCTCTGCTGGTCTAATGCCGCATTTCAAATTCATTCTGGCTTTTATCTCAGTCAGTTAGTGACCTTAGCAGGTATCAGTCTGTCTGAAATGCTCGGCCCAGTCTACTTCCTGGCCGCAGATGTGCTGCAGGGACTGCTGTAGGTGAAGGTTTTAAATGGATTTCTCCCTGAATGAGTGAAGAGGGGGAATGGTGCAGTAATTTCTTTGCCTCACACAGATGTGACTATAACAAAGCGATGGTGTGTTTTTCCAATAACGCCCTGCGTTAGAAACAACCAGAACGAGCCGCCGGAGAGCCAGCTCCCCACAGGCAACCCCCTCATATTCCCACGCACTTTCTCTGCTCAGTCATTCACCTTTCGCTGCTCCATCCTGATTACTATTGCTATGGCAACTGCTACATCGGGGGGCAAAATCCCATGTGTATCTCCCTTTTCTTTTTTTAATCTGAGAGATTGTAGGATTAGCACAGCCAGAGGCCTTTAAAGCCTGATGTTGGCTTGCATGTCGGCTCATGACTAAATGCATTTTTTTTATCTCTCTCTCTGCACTGACATGTCAGGGACAGCGTGATCAAGGGTTGTTTTAATTGCAAGCGTTGAAAGGCGAGAGCACGTTACAAAACAGAAAGCATTGCATAACAAAAAAAGCAATAAAAACTCCTGTACCTGTTGACCTTGACTCGGTCACCAGGCGGCTGTGCTGGGAGCAGATAGATCGACTGCGGGGGAGTTGAAAGGTGGCTGTCCCTCAGACCGCTTCACTGCTTCACTGACATGAAGAGGAGAGACAGACAGAGAGAGAGTCCTTGCAGGGAATATGAGGGAGGGAGAACAGCCCCTTCTGCAGGAATCAGCGTCCTCTGATGCTTCATCAGCACAGGGCTTGTGCACGTGGTCTTCCTGTGCTGCATTGTCAGCGGTTACGTACGGACAAGTGTCCAGCCCAGGGCTTTACTTCCATGCTATATCTAGCTGTGTCACAGTGTGTGTACAAAAGGATCCTTCATTTGCTTTGGGGGTCTAGAACCATTTGCGCTTAGTTTTCCCCTTATAGAAGTGCTCCCTTAAAAGCCTCTGCAGTTGTCATGGAGTTGTGCTTCCTGGTAAACAATGACTCTTTTCATTCCTGCACAGCTTTCAGTCCAGTAGCTGAGATAGATGGAGCAGAGGGCAAAGGGGAGGAGAGAGGAGGGGTTGTGTTGCTGCACAAGGCAGCTTTCTCTACACTCTCATCGAATATGAAGTCCACTGTATGTCCCATACAGGCTTCACTGTTCATTTGCAACAGCTGTAGTAGTTTGTAGTCTCATTACATCCATGATACAAAATAATTTGGTTTCTTTGATTTATAACAAAACTGATGTTCAAAAATGTATTTAAAACCAGTTGATGGGTGAAGATATGTAAGGAAAAAACAACATTGTGGGTCTTTATGGGAAAAAAGGGTAAAGCTGTTGAGTGATGAGGGCCACAATGAAGGCTAGAGCCAAGCACATGACCAGAAGTAAGGAGTCCACGACAAAGCTATGGGTTTATTTCTCATCCAGGCTGGCTTTGAGTTGAGCTTCCAGGGCCATTTTATCAAAAGTACGCATGTTGGTCTCCTCCCGCACTTTGTCTCGTACATGAAAAGAGGCTCGCGCCACAGAGCGAGCACTCTCCAGCACCGCCCTCTTTTCCTTAAAGATCTGCTCACTCTTCTCCAGCTTCCTCTCAATGGACTGGAGCAGCTCCAGACGCCTCTGCTTCTCCTCCTCTTCCACTCGCTGCCTGTTGAGCCTCTGGAGTCTTTCCTTCTCCTGCCGGCTTTGGACGGCCCGCTGAGCTTTCTCCTTGGCCCTCTCCTCGGCCACTAAAGCTGCCTGTTGGGCTCTTTTCTCTGCCTCCTTCACGCGAGCTTCCAGAAGCTGCTGCTGTTGTTTCTCGCGCTTCTCTGCTGCTTTGCGTGCTTTCTGGATCTGCTTCTCTTCACGCTTGGCCTTTTCTTTCAGCTCCTGCCCTCGACGCTCAACTATCTGTTCGTAATTCTCCAGGGAGCGGCTGAGCTTCTCCTCTGCCGCCCTCCTGGCCTCCTCCCTCTCCTCCTGCTCTCTGCGAGCAATCTCCTGTATCAGAGCAGCGTGACGTCTCTTCTCTGCTTTGTTCAGACCTCGTCTGTCCTCCTGGGCCTGGTGCTCCTTCTCTTGCCTCTTCAGCTCGGCCATGGTGAGCTTCTCCTTCAGCAGCAGCCTCTCCTGCTCCAGCATGGCCGCCCGCTCTTCCTCCAGGGCCTTCAGGTTCTGTTCCTGAAGAGCTTTCTTATGCTTCTCCTCTCGAGCTGCCTGCTGTAACCTCAGCAGACGGTTGCGCTCCTGCTGCTCCGCAAGCTCCCTCCATCGCTCCTCGTTCTCCTCAGCCTGACGCATTTTGGCAGCTGCTGACTGTCGCTCCTGCTGGCTGAGTCGTCGCTGACGTATCGACACCTGGGTCTGCCACACCCGCTGGCACTGAAGCACTGCACGCTGCTTCTCTCTGTCCTCCTGCTCCCGCCGCAGCTCATCCATTCTGCGTTCACTATCCCACTGAAGGTGAGCCACGTAGCGGGTCTGACTCATGATGTCTTCCTCCTGGTATCTGGCGAGCATCAGAGCTGCAATCTTGCGATCGCGCTCAGACACGGCCTTCAGGCCTCGGCGTTTCACCTCCTTTACTATGCGCTCCACCTTCTGTGTGGTCTGAAGAGAGTGGCTCAGGTCACCGAGGCTGAGACTGCGGCCCATCAGGGAGTTGAAAGTGGCCATAGTGCGAGCTCGAGGACTGGAGACTTTAGCCCAGTGATCTCGTGCACCATCCCAACTGTAAGATGAGGAGGCACCCGACTCTGATGAGGTGCACGTAGTAGTAGTTGTGGTGGTGGAGGTTGAAGAGCAGACGGGATCCTTCCTCCGCTGTAAGGACTCCAGCGAATGGCTTTTTCCTCGCACCTTGGAATGAATTCCAAGATGTCCATTGTGCTGAGAGAACGGTCCTCCTGTTACACCGTTTAGAGGAGTCCCAGAGCTCTGGACTGCAGGCTTTGACACTGATGATGTTAATGTAGAATTGGCTCTGGGGAAGGAGGGGGGTTTTGGTGTTGATCTGGGGAAAGTGTTTGAAGATTTACCGCCTGAGGACTTCCTGACTATCGGTGGGGGGCCAGATGAGAGCGGCCGTGTGGTTTTTACTTGTTCAGATGAGGAGGACAAAGGATGCTTGGTAGATCCTTGGAAGCCACCCTTGGAGGACGGTGTAGAGGGTGTGGAACCAGTTTTTGAGGACTGAGTAGATCCTGCATGGATAGATTTAGGGGAGGTACTTAGAATGGAGGCGGGGGCTTTAGATAAAAGAGCTGTACCTGTTTTTGAGGTTGGACCTAATGCTGTGGCTCTAGAGGATGCTGCAAAATCAGGGGCAGAACTAGAGGTCACCGGCCCAGATTTGAGAGGCTGAGTGGAGCCAGAGGAGGCTTTTTGCTGCTTCTCCACAGAGGAGGATGACGCACTGCTGCTATTGACTGTTGCCTGCAGAATCCTTCTTTTCTCTTCTCTAATAATCCTCTCCCTCTCCTCCCTGCACTGCCTGAGTTTGGCGTGCCTGTCCCTCTCGTAGACTTCAAACAGCCCTGTCGCAACGCGCATGGAGCGGCCAGGAGCCTCCCGGGCAAAGTCAGCTAGCGGGCGGTGCAAGAGCTCCACAGGTTTGACCCCACATCGGGCACACGCCTCCAGAGAGTGAGGGCTTGTTAACACGTAGCGGCTGCCCTCTGCGGCTGGCGAGTCAAAGTTGTACAGGTCCAGGTGCAATTTGGGTGACGAATCTCTTTCAGTCTGAGTCTGTGGTTGCTGAGGTGGGGGCGTCTGAGAGACGGCGTCTGGCCCCGCCGGGGACGCAGTGTGGCAGGGGCTTGGCTCAGAACTGCCGGTGGGCGGTGTCTCAAAACCGGCATCCCCATCCTCCTCTGTCGTCGTCCCATCGGCCTGTTCTGGCAGTCGAGGGTCTTCAGTGGCCACAGCTGGTGTCTCGAGCTGCGGGCCTTTACACTTATTCTGCTCCTCAGCCTCCGAGGGGTCGACCATAGTTGGCTAATACTGCAGGTAGAGAAGAGGGAGGGGACGGGGATTGATGGAGGGGAAGGGGGGAGGTTGTATGATACATGAGGGGAAGTGGATAAAATAGTGGGAAGAGGTTTCAATTAGAGGATTACAGCATTGAGTCCAAAGCTTAAGAGAGATGCAGTCTGTGGGGGGAGGGTCATAATGCAGGTTCAGAGATGCATGCATGCATAAACACATATTCACTGCACTGATTTTTACTCCAGATGAGACATTTTCCCTTCAGGGAAGTGACATAAGACACGCACAAACACCACAGTCCTTTAATAGAGTCTATTTTTGGCAGAGTTACTAGGCTGAGAGAATTTGATTACTCATAGCATATATTTTTCACTCTATATCACACAATCAACCTACAAATACATTTGAAACCAGATCCTGCAACATATATTATTAAGCAGTTGATAGTAAAAAACTTGGATTTAAAACGCTTGCATGAGATTGTGTCTGGTAAACAAGCACTGGACAAATGTATTAACTCTCCATCGTGGACTCACACCTTACAAACAGTGAAGGCCTAGACTTTCCTGTAGCAGCAGGACACCGAAAACTCTGCACTTTCACATTAAAAACGACCTCAGGGTGAGATTTTAAAGACGGATTTCATTAGAGACGTGCCTGCTGTTTGTTGTTGTCTTACGAAAATACAATATTTACTACATTTACTGCTGTTTCATCCCGTGGATTGGTTGTATTTCATGCGGTGGCGCACCACACTAACATCCACTAACCTGCCAGTTTGCAAAACGTTTTCTAAACCGGTACTTTGTTCCCCTTTAATCCGTCCAGTGCCCCTTGCTCCCTGCATAATATCAGGTTTCAGGGGAAGAGGCTGCGGCCGTCGATCCAACGATGGAGCATCACATCGTCGCAACCTCCAGCGACACGACAGACACAGACGGAGGCTTTCAGTCGACTGAGCAGCGGCTGGGATCTGTCCTCTCAGCGGTTCAGGATAAATAAAGACCGTCCCCAGAGGGAAATTCACTTTCACCACAAAACACCCCAACAAAATCTCCTATGCAGCTTCCTGTGATCCACCCTCAGCAAAATGCATCCGTAAACATCAGCGTCTCCACCTGCTATCTCTTCAGCAGCATCCCTCCATCTCAGCCTCCTTAGCTCCGCCCGCTTGTGGCAAATATGCTAAAAATACTGTCTGCACGCTGCAATTAAACCAAGCGCCTCCACACTCATCCTGCATGCTTTTAACATGGAACAAAACCCCAATGTTAGCCTGGAGCAAAGTTCCTCCTATAGGTTTTATACTAGAGACATGTATGAGTCTATATAAAGGAAGCATCTGCATAATAATGTTATTCAGTTTCCTTAATTATTTATTGCTTTAACTTGTTTTGTCTGCTAGGAAATACTAATATCTGTAAAAAAGAAAATGTCAAACACATTAATGAGAGTTGAAGCTATCTACACATACATGTTGGTTTAATCTGTGCAGACTGAACCATCAAAAGTCTTATCACCGCATGAAACAGCTGCCATCTGCCACCCTGAGTATGTGTGAAATGAAACATGCTGTAATGGCACAGAACAGTCACTAGAGGGCGCTATCATATAAAAGATTTATGCTTTGGGTTTCTTTTCTGTCAAAAAGGTAGTGAGCATCATTACAGACAATAAGAGTTTAACTACAGATTTGATTATGAAATGATACTGAATGTCTGTTTACTATTTATTTTTTATTTGCTAAGCTAAAATTATATTTGTCAACAATTATAACTAAAATATAATAAATTATATTTGATGTTATTACAACTGTATTTTACTATATTGTCATTCAGTATCTGTTTTTACAGCAGCCTCTATGTATAAGGTACCTGATAAATACATTAACACTTATATCTGCTCATATTACAGTGTTATAAACATTTAATACATGTTTATGTACTTCTTATAAATGCTAAAAACTGGGATTTAAAATAAAGTTTTGCCAATTCCTTGTCTAAATACAGTTTTCTAAATCTATAAATTATTACCAGAGTTAGGGAGCTTCCATAGGCTTAATACAGCCCCAGCCCCCCACTGACTTTAAATAAGAAAAGATTATTTAATGAAAATGAATGCAACACTGGGACATGTGCTGTGTTATTGATCCTTGTGCAGGAGATTTTGTTTGAGGAAAGGTCACAGATGAGACAGCAACTATAGAGCTGGTAACAATTTAGGAGCATGTTCATGAGAAGAGTTGATGCCTCTGATATATTTTTTTTCTATTTAAAATTCCAGTGTGAAGGAGAAACTACAGTGGCTGCAAAACTCACAAAAAAAAACGTGAAAGGCCCAATCTAAGCCAGTGTTCGGTTTGTCCATTCTGGGCTACTGTAGAAACTATGGACGTAGATAAAAACGACTCATTCTAGGTAACAAAAACACAACAATTCTTATTTTCAGGTGATTATACACTAATGGAAACAAACCTATGAATATATTCAATTCAATGCTGCACTGCTCGTGACCCCTGGACTCTGTCCTCTCTGATGTAATGCATATATGTGGTGGACTGTATATGTGTAACTAGGAGAGATATGCAAACACATGTTCAATGACTTTGTGTAAAATGATAATATCAAGTAATCTTACAGTGCCACTATTGCTGCAGCTTTTATTAGTAGGAGAATTGGCAGTGGCAGTATGGTGGTGGAAGAAGTAAAAAACAGAGGTAGTTGTCTCTCCACTACTACATGAGGGAATGCAGTGTATTCGTTTATTAAGACTGACTGGGCTGGTTTGGTCCAGTCAGAGCGGTTGGATCAGGATTAGATAACTCTGGGTGAAAATCACAGTGATGATGACCCACTAAACTCCTGACCCGGTGTGGGGAACAGTGCGAGTTTAATTGGCCCCGCCCGTGAGCCCTATCAGGAGGACAGCGGGTAACAAGTGACAACAGGGAACGTGCTGGCTGGCTTGTTAACCGGGGGCATGGGGTCTGGGAGGGGGGCCAAAGGGGAACAGGGCATGGTGTGGTTGCTGCACAGTTCACTGGTGCAGGGGTATGCTCGACAGAATTTTTGTGTTTTTGTTTTTGGTACTGTAGGGCATGCTCCCCACCACCAAAGCTGGACTGGGGGTTCATCGAGAGGTGAGCTGCTCTGTGCAGTCATGGAGACCACTGCAATGCCCGGCTGGTGGCGAGGGCCCGGAGCATTCCCTTATCTACTGGTTTTGGTGGTGGGAACCAGTCTAGAGGTGCCAAAACCTTCAGTCTGAGCATGAGGAAATAAAATCTGATTTATATTAAAGTATTATATGTTCAGGAATTTGTTCCTCGTACTCAGGACTGCAAATACATTTTAAGTATATTTTTAAGATAAAATTACTTATTTGAGGAATTTTTACACCCAAAATCTATTTTAAAGTTAAATTACCAATGATTTAACGTGGCATAAATCCAATTCACCCTCTCAAACAGTTTACTTATCATTTACAAAGGACTGTGAGTGCAATGATTTATATTTTCTTTAAACTATCAACCCATTGTTGCTGCAATCAATCAATAAATCAGTCAGTCAGTAAATCATTTAGAGAAGCAGGGCAACAAATCAGCTAGATATGGCTATATATCGGTGGTATTTGCACTCGGACTTGGCCATCGGACTCGCCAAATATTCTAGGTGGTCTCGACTGAGTCCAGTAACTTCCTCCTTTAAAACAAAACCATTGATGGAGAAAACGGGTATTGGTTTAATACAAAATCCATCTAGAACGGGCATTGACATTCAATTCCATCACTGCCACTTGCAATCGTACACCTGGCTGCCAAAACAAATCTCATTGGCAATGGCAAAAGCATTCTTTTTTTGTCCCGGCCTTGACTCCATCTCTCTCATTTGGACTCGACTAGTCCTGGTCTTGGACTTGTCTTGGACTCGACAAAGGTGGTCTCGACTGCAGCACTGCTAGAAACAGTGAAGTAGACAAAGTCTAGTATGTCCAATGCTCAGATAAATGAGCCACTGTGCTCCAGTGCATAATATAACCAAGTACAAACTGATTATATATCAGTTCTCCTAGTGCGGAAAATCTGTTGGAGTACTGGGAAATCTAGCAGCAAATGATTGATTAAGACATCTTAAGTTAGAATAACAAAGCGAAGGCAGTATCAGTGCAGTTACGAGGATCTGTGAGCCTTTTCTTTTTTGTTGCAACAATAAATCCAGCCAAGAGATTACAGACAGAAAGGAACTCAGGGAACTCAGACAATAACCACTTTTGGCTACATGACTCAGCAGCCGGCCTCAGCAGAGATGAATTCACCCATTTCATTTCCCTTCAAGAGGCAGTTCTGATTTTCAGCTCTACATGTGCGCTGAACTTTGACAAGTACGAATAAAGACATGGCAAACTCTTTTACAGACCTGGAAATAAAGAGGATACAGTTGGTCTCAGAGCATTTCCACCTCTCCAGAGGGCTACTGATTTTCCACATTATTATATTTTACTACTATTGTAGTTGATCGTGCCAAGAGGACACTGTAGGGGTGTTCGCTCAGAGCGGAACATTTTTAGTGAGTGTATAATGCTGTTCAGACTAGTTCACTGAACCAAATGTGATGATAAACCCTGTAAGACTTTTACAATGTGACTTATGTCACTGTTTACATAAAAATACATATAGATGTGAATAATAAATGATAAATTACAGCCTTAGATGGCTGTTATTTGCCTTTAAGGTCATTCCCGTCTAATGTGTGGGTATTATTTATATACTATATATGTTTATGTAGCTTTTACTATTTACTTTTTTGTTCAAATGCATTTTTTTTTTTTTTTTTGGCCTTTTCATGCCTTTATTGGAAATTTAGAAAAATAGGGAGACATGCGTGAGATGCGACAGAGAGAAGGTGGGGTAGGGAGAGATTTGAGGGTGATGACACGCAGCAAAGGCGCGACACGTCGGATTTGAACCCGGGGACCGCTGCGAGCAACTCTGTCATATGGTCGCCAGCCGCTATGGCCGACTGAGCTAACCGGGCACCCCAAATGCATTTTTTAAATAAATTAGATCTTCATTTAAAGGCTTTATATCCTTAGATTCCCTCCAACATTAAATTGGTTACAGTAAATTATTAGAGTAAAATCATAAAATAAATCCATCCTCTTTGAGTCTAATTAGTTATCTGTATTATTTTTAATGCTTTGTTTTATGGGTTAAATATATGTGGAATTATCTAATTTAGTGCTTATTACGACTGCTTAAAATAAGGTTGTCATGTATTATCCATTAAACTACACATCTAACCTTAATAATTAATATCTGTGCTACAAAACAAGAACAAGAGAACCACAATAAAACAAAAGACTGACTGATACCAGATTGTGAGAAAGTTAAAAGTACCACATAAGCACTCAAATGTGCGTGAACCACTGTTGTACTGTAGGCTGATGTTGTGTATGTTCTCAACAATCCTGTCTTTTCACTCGCTCTGTCCTTCACACTCGCTGCCCTGCTGGAACACACTGGTCCTGTGAAGACTGAGACCTTTCGTTGCCCCCAGTTCACATTTCCAGCCTCAGTTCGCCAACAGAAAGGGACACGTTTTCTGGACAGTTTCAACAACTCCCTCTTCTGACCCGTTGCTTTCTCCAACCACCAAGTCCCCCCCTTCCAAACCCTCCCTCTCTCCCTCTCCCTTTACTCTGTCTTCTGTGGTACAGGGGTCCCATGCGGGTGTGGAATAGTCCCCCTCCTTGGTGCAAGGGGAAAAGGTCCCAGAGACAGAGCTGTTAATTCAATCAGGAGAGTGGTATGCTCAATTAGGCATCCATAAGGGCCCTGGATGGGTCCGGGGGCCCTGCAGAGGGCAGGCAGCCCAGTCCCCACGAGGTATTAATTGTGGATGACAGTGTGTAAACAGTGGGGTGAATAGACAGCGCAGGTGCGGGACACCCCAGTCCAGACTCAATAGCCCTTTTCACACCCTTGGCTCTCTGTTGCCACTTTCTGTTTCATTCTTTCACTACGTAAAAATCCCTCACATCTCTGATTAATGTCATGGATAATTCGGCTTTGTGGGCTTATTTATTTGTTGCTGTGTGTTTCCGTCACTTGGCATGCTCCTACATTAGCCCCAGTGTATGTGTGTTTATGTGTGAGTGTGTGTTTGAAGAGGGTAATAAGAGGCCAGTTGCTGCTGTCCAGATCTGTTGGCCAGCCAAGGGCTATACACGGCTCCTCGTTTTCAGGAGCTAGTGAAAATTGCGGCCAGTACATGTAAAATATGTGGAATTTATTAAATGAAATCCAGATGACACTTTAAATGGAGTGGGCTTTCTATCTGACCTCCGACTTTTCCGTTCAGCACACCACCCAACCCCCCGTCCCCTCGTCTGTCTTTCATTCAGTGCTATAATTGTGTTTGGTCGTGTTTGACAATACTAACTTTTCTAGAGCTATCGTACACAGCGACCGTTCACAGAAGAGACCTGTAGTGGTAGAAGTATCCAGAGCTACAGTAACAATACCACAGTGTAGAAGTACTCCATTACAAGTGAAATGTTTAGAAGTGTCATCAGCAAATTGTGTTGTCATATAAATTAAATTACTGGATTACTGACACTGATGCATTAACATATAATAGCATTTTATGTTGACGCTGGTTACAGTGGATATATATACATTTTGGTCAATAATCATATTTTAAAAACTGATCATATGTTGTGTATGTGAAAACTGTCAGACCAATGAAATGGAGTAAAACTTATGTTTCATTCTGATAACTTATAAGTAACCAAGACCAGAAGTTCAGTTTTAAATGCACGATTCTTACTTGTAGTATTGTAATGAGTATAATGAGTCTTCATTATGACGGCCCCTTATAGAAGGTTATAAATTACTGATGCATTAACTTAGCTGCATTTTAATTCTTGGGGATGCGCCAATACCATTACAAACTACTGTACAAGTACTTTTAGGAATACCTTTGATGCATATTATTTTAGTCAGTGGTGGAAGAAATTCTTCTAATGGCTTCTTCTTCGTCTAAAATAGCACAGTGGAAAAATGTTCTGTAACAACTAAACCTCCTGCATTCAGACTTTTATCAAGTATTATTGGTCAAATATATATAGTAAAAGTAAAAAGTAAATTCCAGAACATTGTATTGTTATATTTCATTGGATTATTTATTATTGATTAATGTGCAACATTTTAATATTGTAGCTGGAATGGAAAGTGGATCCAACTTTATAATGTACATTTTTATAAGATAATTGGTTTTGAATGTATATTAACTACAGCTGTCTAATATAGGTTAGTGCAGTAGGATATGTCTGCTCTAAAATGTGGTGGAGTAAAAGTATAAAGTAACTGGAAGTCCAAGTAACTAAGAATTGTACTTTAGCATACTTAAGCAATGTACTTTTTCATTATAATTTATGTTAAGTTTGTCAAAGACAATTAGTGAAGTAACTAGTAACTACAGATTAGTAAATTGAACGTAGTTATGGTCCCTCTAAAATATATGGTTGAAGTATAAAGTTGTGCAAAATGGAAATACTCAAGTAAAGTACCAAAACCTCAAACGTGTAAGTATAGTACTTTTACCTCTGCAGAACATCTGGTTTCCCCTGATTACAAAGTACATTAGACTTAAAAATGATCAACTAACTAATTCCCACCTCCATTATAACTTATTTTAACCCACAACATTAGGCATACCACATCTGAACTCTGTGTGTGTCTAAATTCTACTTTTTGTACATGTGACATCATGGTTGAACATCTGTGCTAAATCTCCCCCCCCCCCACCACCAACCAACCAACCCCGGCTGTCAGATCTCTGGGTGGCCTCTGTCCTGCTCCGTCTGTTTCTGTGTCTACAGACACCTGCTAATTTTCGGCCGTATGTAGTTGGTGTAAGCCAGTGGGGGGACAGTGGCTGAGGCGTCTTTGGAAAGGCCGCTGCAGTAATTGGGAAATACATTTCCTTTCAGCATGCCCATTCATTCCTTTTTTGTTTTTGTTGTCAGAAGTTTTCTTTCATGCTCGGCCAAACGACAACAGAATTAAAGTGTCGAGCCATGCTTTCCCTACAACAGCTTTACACCCGAAGAAAAACTTTGTCTTCTTTGTTAGGGGTGGAGGGTTGAAGCGAGAGGAAAGAGCAGATATAAACTGATCTCGTTAACATTCCAAGAGACACTCCTGTTCCCCCCTCTCTGCTCCTCATCCTCACCTCCCACAAGCATTTCTCCACTCACACCAGGACATTAGTGGCCGGCTGGCACGGAGCAGAGAAGAGGAGGGAAGATGATGCCCCCGGGGTGAGAAACAGCACCAGAGTGAGGCGCATCCCACCTCTCACATCTCTGATAATGATACTACATGGACGCTTTGCTGAGTCCATAAACAAGAATCCAGATAATTCACTGTCTCCAGTTCATTTAGGCCTCACTTTTTCTCCCTTTATGTCCCTTTTTCTTCTCTCGCATTTGGCCTGACCCTCTTCACAAATTCTCTCCATCCTTTCTGAGAAAATAGCCTTTTTACTGAAACCGCCCGGTGCACACAGAAATCATTAATGCTGACCCTAATTGTGCCAATTCCAGCAGCTCAATAGCTCTAATTACAAGGCTCTTCACTGAGGCACTCAAAAAGCCGCTGAACTGTCATAGCCAACAATTAAAAAATATCTATAGGGACAAAGACTGAGAGAAGGGGATTTGGGGGGGGGGG